ACGAAAAGTCACGCGGCTCTCGCGAGACCCTCGTAAACCTACTCGCACTCTGCGACTACCGGGAGACGCAGACTCCACGTCGTCGTCGTCTACCGAACTATCCTTTATTTTATACTGGAAAGGACTCTAGGTCCCTTCAGGGTCTATCATGGCCAGACACTCGTAAATCCTGGTGAACTGTGTCCACCTCTTTGCTTCGGCCCCCCCAAGCTATCCACATAAGGAAACCACGTGTCTTCGGATGAGTAACCCCTAAATTATATCATTTTCAGAGGCAACTCAACGTCCAGGGTTATCAGTGCAGCTCGGATCTACGCTACGTACTCTTCAAGCACAACGTTAAGCCAGTAAGTCAATTTTCGTATTTGAAAATTGATACCTTGGGTCATTCGATTCATGATGGGTCAGGTAGCCTGATGGAACAAGTAATATGGCTGGTTCCGTTTATCCTGGATAACGTTCAGCTTACCCTATATGGGAATTGCGGTATTGCTCGTGGATCTTTTACGAGTTCAAGCTGTGTAAGGGGATTCCTTGCACCGAATGCTGTTGGCAATGTATTTCGTTTGCATATGTAGTTCAGAGTCCTCATAGACGTTTTATTTCTTTGACCTCGGTAGCTACCTTCGCTAGCTTTGGTATCTATGGTCCTGGCTCTCGTGCTTTTAATCCTGAACGAACGATAAACGGGTGGGCCGATTAGAAGGCTTTTAAAAATTGCTTAGAATCTGCCGTTAATACGTTGTGTGTTTAGTGGCTTGTTTTTTTTTTTTTACTTCATTTATCCTTTTTTTATGGGCCGTGCTTGTCGTTGAACCAAGCAGTCTCTACAGCGACACTGTGACCATCGCCGTCATTACCATTCAAGCTGGAAAGCTAACTCGTTCATCTCGTTATCTTTTACTTCCTCCGTGCTTTTACCAGGGCGAATAACAATTTTTATGGCTCATGAAGATCCTTGTGTGAACTTGCCTTGAACTTTTGTGGAATAAATCATTGTGTTTACTTTTGAATTGATCAGGCCACCCCATAGTCTGACTATACGTACATTACTTGACTGTATCTTCTAGATGGCTCATTTATATAGTTGATAATTTTAGAGAGCGTGAGTGAATCAGGCTTAAAAAAGGTTTATTGAGCTGCTTTCTGTTTTAGGTATTCCGTCACACTTTCACGGCCCACTATACGGTCTATGATGTCACCAATGAGTGAGTATTATTTTGTAGTTGAACTTTTTTTAAGCCTTTCTTTTTTAATAACTTGTAGTGTTCTCGTCTCTTGTTAAGAATTTTTGATGAAGACAAATTTTGTTCTCTTCTCTTCAGTCACCACACTCCACTCAGATTACATGCTTCGTCGAGGATTCAGCAGAGTCGACTCCAGCACGCGGCCTGGCTCGGCAATACCACGGCACTCCTGATGATATCCGATAATGATATTTATCTGAGGATAACACCCTCAGCACCAGAAGATACGCGTATCACAGACACCGGTATACCAGGGGTGATTTACAACGGGGTGCCTGATTGGTTGTACCAGGAGGAGGTGTTGCCACGTCCGGAAGCAATCTGGCCAAGTCCAGACGGATCACATATCCTATTCGCCAGCTTCAATGATACCAAAGTGTCCGCCCTGGAGTTCCCTTGGTTTGGTGCTCAAATAGGCCAAGACGGAGCTAGTTCCAGTCCCCTTAGTTCACCTAGAAAAGGCTTCTTTCCGCCGTCTAGATCGGTCAGGTATCCGACGCCAGGTTCATCCAATCCTGAAGTGGAATTGTGGATGTTTGATCTGAGCAACAGCAGTGCTGCCAATACGACAAATGCCACTGTGGCTAAGGTGAAATTAAAGCCACCGCCTGCTCTGGATGGACAGTAAGTATCGAATCAGTGACTTATGATATTGTATCGGTGATAAATAATTACCACATGTTCAGATGATTTTCTTTAAAGACAGCACTGACAGTCGTTACGTCACTTTCAGAGAATACTATCTGATCTCTGCCGGTTGGGTAGGCGATGATTCTACTCAGATAGCCGTAGTCTGGATGACGAGGTCTCAGAATCTTTCAATAGTCTCAGGCTGCCGTACGCCGACCTGGGAGTGCGAGGAGACGCACTCGGAAAGGGCGCCGGAAGGACAGTGGCTTGATGCTCAGCCACATCCGGTTTTCGCGCCAGACGGTGACAGCTTCCTGCTCCTGGCGGCTGTACAGGAAGGTGGTCAGGAGCACTTTACTCATATTAAGCACGTGACGCTTACTCAGCAAAGGATAGCTGTACTTTCGCATGGGCGCTACGAGGTGAGGCAATGTGACCTTTATGATTTTTATTGTTAAAAAAAAATAATATTTTGTAAGATCAGTCGTTAAAGTGGTCGTCAAATTTTCGCAGGTGAGTGAGATCCTTGCTTGGGACACTCAGGCCCATTCAGTTTACTACTTAGCCACCAGGGAAAAACGACCTGGACAGAGGCACCTATACATGGTGCGTGATCCAACCACGGACGATCCTCGAAGGCTGGAACCCCTCTGTGTCACGTGCGACCTGGGGGAGGTTCTCTGGAGTAGTCGGTAAATCGCTAGGCTTGGAAGCAAATTTATATTGAACAGACAAACAAATAACGCATGTGGTCCGATTAATGTTTTAGGTTTTACTACACTAATTGCACGCACTTTAGCGCCTCCGTTAGTCCTCCCTCGGTTAACGGTGGTCAGGGTTATTATGTACTTCACTGTGAAGGTCCTGGACTTCCATTAGCCGGCGTTCATTCAATGACCACCCATAAAATGGTTAGGCTTCTCTATGACACCAGGATACAGAGGGCGGATAGACTCTCACAGTTGGCACTTCCAACTAGAAGAAGCTTCGAGGTTGGTTTAACCCGTACGATTAAAAACATAAACATGGCTGAATAAGGATCTGCTAAATCGATCACTATTCCAGTTATCGTTGCCCCAGGGTTGGAGAGCACACGTACAACTTCTGTTGCCTCCATCCTGGCGAGAGGAGCTCAGGGACGCAGCGTTTCCCGTTCTGGTTGAGGTGAACGGTCGGCCAGGAAGCGAGGCGGTCACTGACAAGTTCAGAATAGACTGGGGGACCTACATGTCCAGTCACAATGACGTCGTCTACGTGAGACTGGATGTGCGCGGAGCCCGGGGTCAGGGTAAACGTGCTCTGTTCCGAAGAATCGGAGGCGTCGAGGTTCAGGATCAGTTGACCGTCCTGAGGCATCTTCTGGACACGCTCAAATACCTGGACGAATCCAGGGTAGGAGTCTGGGGCTGGGGATACGGTGGCTACGTAACAGCCATGGTCCTCGGGAGTCAACAAAATGTCTTCAAGTGCGGCGTGGCCGTAAACCCCATTGCAGACTGGTTATACTACAGTGAGTACATAGAAAAACTAATAAACCACATTTGATCGCCTTATTCAATTTTATCCTTTCATCAGACTCTGCCTTCACGGAACGAGTTCTTGGTGCTCCGACAGAGAATTACAAGGGTTACGTGGAAGCTGACCTGACGCAAAGGGCGCGATTAGTACCGAGTCACAGCCTCTACCTTCTTCATGGTCTAGCAGACCTCACAGCGCCTTACACGCATGGCATAGCTTTCGCCAAGTCTCTAGCGGAAGCGGGTGTCATCTTCAGATACCAGGTGAGCGTCAATAAGTATACTAAACCCTATCGTACATCCAAGTCACGTTCATCAGGACGATCAACTCTGATCACAACCTAGTCCTGCAGAACCAATTAACCAAATTCATGTCCATCATTCCTCTCAGAGCTATGCGGACGAAGATCACGCCCTATCAGGAGTGCTCGAGCACGCCTATCGTTCCATGGAGGACTTCCTCGCCGAGTGCCTCGCCCTGGACGCCTCCTAGTGCCTCAAATCGATTTATCCCTCGTTACCGATACCACATCTACTTGCTGACCTTAGGAAGGCCACGGGAGAGATCGGCCGAGCTCCCAAAAGCACGTCGTCCGAACGTAGGTACCATAGTGGATGGACGATAAGAAAAGAAACTCACTTTCTGGAAAAGAAATACGAAAACTCCTCCTCCCCGAATAGCCACCACCCCTCTACCCCTCGTGAGTTTTACGAACCCTCGCTAAGTTAGGCATAAATATTGAGCGAGAAGCTCGTGAAAGCCTCGAGCCTAAAGTCTGGAAGCCTAAAAAAAATTAACAAGAGTGCATGAGACTGTATGTGTGTGTACGTACGAAAATCTAAAAAAAAATGAAAGAGAGAGTATCAGACAGGCAGAATGCGGAGAAAGTGAGAGAGCGCTAATACCAGTGTACTTAGTGATGGATTGATTGATACGAACACCGGTCCCCTTTTACTCCCCTCGCGTTTCCACCGTTAGATATGGCAAATAATTCTTATTGATAGTGAGGAAAATGATTAAGAAGAATCTTATGAAAAGTTCCATCATGTTTGTATGACTAATATTGTTATAGCGTTGTGTATATCTGCCTTATGCGTCACTATAATTCTTTCCTAATACCTAATATCACTGTAGTACGATCCAAGTCACCACTGGATCTCTCTGGCGAAACGTGACATCTTGAGATACCTGTCTTAATAACGTTCACGATTGATCGCACGTAGGAGTCTGATAATAAGGCACTAAATACTCCAAAGAATAACTCTCATGTTTCATGTTATCACGTCTTTCCATAATCTGATTACCGTGTCACCCCCTATTCGCCCCTTGCTCCCCGCGATTACCTTATGATAAATGCCTGCTCACCAAAAAAAAAAAAAAACTCGTTAAATTTATGTTGTACAGCTCGCTGCCTAGTCTATGTATAATAATGTTATATATATTATATATATAGGGTGAGAAAGGTGATGAGCGATAGAGAAAGAGAGAGAATGTCCCCCTCCTTTAAGGAGCCTCATGAACCCATCCTAAATTCCCTCTTCCACCCCCTCCCGCCCCACCTCCAAATATTTGTAAATAATAACTCATTCTAATCATTATGGTAAAATGCGACGTCACTGACCGCCTTTTCGCCGGATGTGATGAATTTTTCACGTGGAGGGGAAGCATGAAAAAGATTATTAATAATAATTCGCGTTTCGTTTGACTAACGAAAATGACATGGTCAGGTGGTCGATGGCTTTGCTGAATGGATATAAGCATACGAGTGAAATGGCAGCACCGAGAGTTCGGCTAGTATAAATAGATAGGAATTTAATAATGGCGGCCTCGCTTAGCTGTAACTCAAACGTGAATGTCTCAGAGAGAAATGTTTCTGTTGCGAATGTTGCCACGCTTGTGAAAAAAAAAAAGTCTGGATGAGGATAGTGAGACAGAGAGATAGAGATAATTACATAAGGAATAATAAGAAGTGAAAGTTGAGGGATGAATTTCCGGCGAGGGCGCGGTCACTGCATACAACGGCGCGTTTGTCTTTGAATTAAAATAAAGAATTCGAGCGTTTAGCGTGGACAATGGACTCGATGAAGAAAAGAGAACAAAAAATAGAGGTGTACACGCCACGCTGTGCCAGCAGCCCTTATATGCCGACAATCAAGGCTAGTGCAACTAATCAAACAATAAATGAAAAAAAAGAGAGGATGAAGAAAAGTAAATTGAAGGAAATTAATAAATAAAATAATTACTGTTGAGCGCTTTGTGTGAAACCGTGGCGAGATTGAGAGAGAGATAGATATATATATATATACACATATAAGGGAATAAAAAGAGTGAGAGAAAGAGAGATAATGAAAAACTGAGATCGTTGTTCCAGTATTTAAAATATCCAGGCGTCGGCAAGTGTCGCCACCTACAGGGACGCTTAATCAACTGGCACTGATGCTTCTGCGACGATAATTGCATTCTCAATCTGATCAATCAATTAGTCTGTTATGCGATCACATCGGTTATCCCTATAATAGAATACCGAATTTATGTAATAAACGACTCTGAACATTTTTCTCAACGCTTCACGATGAACGGTCAATAATATAATTACAACTACGACACATGATATTGGTTGAACGTTAATTAATGAACTCAGCCTAGAGTGGGCGCATGCGCATTCAACAGTTGCAATATTGAATAAAGTTTGCGTGTGGAATTAAAAAGTAAATAGAGGAAGAGAAAGAAAGAGAGAGAGAGAGAGAGAGAGAGAGAGAGAGAGAGAGAGGATATTACGCAATAGTCGAGGAAACTTCAGAGCATCAAAGATTCAAGGATGCGTTTGAGGGAATAATAAAGATAGGTTTGCAGAAACGCGAGGACGATCTGAAAAAATAAATAAACTATTAAATATTGTGAAGATTCGTTAGTGACTGGAGATAGATAGTGAGAGTGAGTGTGTGTGTGAGAGAGAGAGAGAGAGAGAGAGAGAGAGAGAGCAGAAAAAATTTTAGATAAGGAAACAAAAAACGATTTAGAGGAATAAAATACAAGAGGTTAAGCACGATCTTGCATCGATTCGAAATGCAAATTCGTTAATAAATTAAATTTGACAAGCGAAATGATCCTCGATCGGAGAGACGAAATTACCGTGGGTGGCGGGGAACGGAACTACAAAGCCCACGAGAGTAAAGAAGTAAGAACTACAATCAATTATTAAATATAATTAACGCCACTAATTGAATAACTAAACGTGAGTGTAGATATTGGATAAAGATTGAAGAACCGAGGCGAAGAAGATAAAAGAACGACAAGGAGAAAATGAAAATTCTTATCGAGTCAAAGGGTAGAGGAGAGAAACTAGAAAAAAAAGCTAATGATAAAATTGAATTATTACAAGAAAAATCTTTGGTAGCAGCGCATAGGGATAAATAATAGCTTTTGGTAACGTATATCGTCGCTAGTGTTAAAGAACCCCCTTCAACATCCCATAAAAACCCCCCTCTTACCCTGTTGATACCCAATTCATAAAAATTCATGGAAATTCAACGTTAAGCGAGCGATAGACAGTGTGAAAGAATAATCAGTGAGATAGAGAGAGAGAGAGAGAGAGAGAGCGAGAGGGAATGAAAGGAAAAAAAAATTAATAAAGTAAAAGGAATTCGATGTGTCCACGAAATCGGTAAAAACCTATATACAATGCACTCGAAAGATATTTGTGATCCTTATTCGTTTTGACGTCATCAAAAGGGACTCCTGGTCAATTAGTTACGCGATCGTACGTTGTTGAATGTAGGTGAAAAGAAAAGAAAGAAAGAAAGAAAAAAAAAAGAGAGAAGAATACGAGAGAAAAGATGAAATTTTTTCTCCTTCCCTCCTTCGGGAAATTTATTAATCCTCCTGTCTTGTTGACCTCCAGATAATTGTCCGTTTCTCATCTGGAGACGTTATACGGGGAATTGATATATCGCCATCTTTAAAGGATCGCGCAGTTATGTTATATATATATATATTACATATGGATATGTACATATTACATATTACATATGGATATGTAATATATACGTAGGTATATATTATATGTAGACATATATATATATAATATAAGGCACCTTGCCGATTTTGTGGACGGCACTAGTTATCTTCCATGTAACACCCACAAGATAATCATGTTATTAAGACTCTGCGTTTTTTAATATCAGCGAGGCTCAGCCCGTGCATCGGGCGGACAACGTGTTTTCAATAAACTGTTACATTACCTGAAAAAAAAAAAAACCAAAAGAATAATTTATTTATTTATTCTCAAAACTCGTCATTGACTGAAATAACGGATGACTGATCAATTACGTTATTTATTGTTTTTCTTGCCGCCACGTTCAGGTGAAATCGAAATTTGACAACTGGATAAATTTTGAAATGCCAATTAGAATTTTTGGGCTATGGATAGCAGCCAATTGAACTGATATGAATAGTACTGACTTGTTACTCGTCAGTTCAGTTACTCGATAATTTCGGAAAAATTCATTGAGAACAAATTCGGTGTACAATATTTTTATTGATTTATATTTATTAAAGTCATGGTGGCACTACGGTCGGGAAGAAAAGGTAATGGGATGTATACGACTAGTGCACTGCAACAAGGTGTGAAAAGATTATCAGGTTACAATTATGGAATTATGAAAAAACGGTAAGTACAATTTTAATGAAGATTCGAATATTGATTAATGGTTAATTGGAATTTTATTATATTGAACTGCGACAAGTCGTTACGATCATCCTTACGCAACGCGATCCAAGACTTGTACGAGTTTAGAATTTCCGGTTAACAAAAACAAGATGAAGCTGCACAGAGAATCATCGGGTACGAGTGTTATATTTCTTGGGTATTATCGCAAAATACCAGAACTGATAACACTGGATGATAGCACTACGGGGGTGAAGTCTGATCAAGTAGAGGAATAATTGTGAGATAATAAAAGGTGAAGAGAAACAGGCAACTGCGTGGAAAATTTTTAGATTAATAAATGATATTGATTTATACGAGTTTAGTTAATTATAGATTTATAGATACTGTCCTGCCTTTATTTTTGAAGGGATGTAAGCACTGCTCAGAAATTGTAACGAAAAACTGGCTACACTTTCAATTTCAGCTTTTCCTCTCTTCATGGCGTCCAGCTCACGAGACAGGAAGTCTTTAACGTGAGGTCGTTCCTCCAGTGATGCCAATTTCGAACGGTCTGCATTGGTGAGGGGAGTCGCTTTCACTCCCAGTGCAACCAACTCTGAGGGATGAATACCCAACCAACGAACACCAGGGCAAACCAGTAATTTATGTTCCTTGGCCAAAGTGGTAGAACCAAATCTAGAAACAGTTTCAGTAACAAGTTCAGTTGTAATGGCAAAAAAGTAATTATAGTATCTAGGTTGGAGGTAGTGAATTCTTACTTAAGTAAATGACTAACCGATAAACGAGCATGATCTCAATCCCGTATGGATCAGCATCGACCAAACAATATACAGGTAGGTTCAATTTTTCCCAAAGTATTCTCACTAGCATCCTTGTAGATACGTCTGGATAACCTTTACCGGTTATCAGGATACAATTCAGAGAACGTGGACAGTCTTGCTCAATGAGTTTTTGAAAAACAGAATCCTTTTCGATGATTAATACAAAGTCCGAGCTTGTCTGGAGTTTTGTCAAATTTGAAAAAATCTGTGGTACAACAACACCACCTCTCACGTTGCAATCCACAGATTCCTCGGATCCAATTCCAAGCGTTAGGTCACCAGCAACCAATCCCTTGCCAGTAGCAATAAAACCTACAAACGAGGAAGACGTTAGGAATGTTATAAAGCTATTTCGGATTTTATCTCTGGCTAATTAAATATCAATAAACATTGACCCAAGTCCCAGGGTGCGCACCCTAACAAACTGGCCACGTGGTTCACCGAATTGTCAACGTGTCTCTGTTCCGGTGCCAGACCTTGAGTAGATTCGGACTGTAGATCGTAATAAAGTGATCTACGAGTAATGACGTCACCGTTTATTGATAATCGATGAGCGTGTGACAGCACAGTAGTCATCAGCGTTAATTTATTCCTGCTTCGTTTACAGGTAAAATCTACCCTAGTCATTTTGCTGTCGTTTGTCATCGTATCCCTGAATTCATCAATTTCCTGTGACTGTGTCGCTTTTTCTTTGCAACGTTCAGACTGGTCCAACGTCTCGGTAACTCCTGTGGGATAGATCACTTCAGGACATCTTCCTTGGGCTATTTGATGTAGCATACTCAGTACCACATTTTCAGCACGGGTCATTACTATTTTTCTGTAAATATATAATATTGGGATAAATCGATTGTATGGTTATTGGAAACTGTGATTTGAAATTATCTTCCGTGATTTACTTTACCGTGAATCTTCTCTATCTTCAGGGACTACTGTCACTTCCTTCTTATTCATTTTTATCCTTTGGAATTGTTACTGGCTGCTGGACCGTAAAGGTTTGGGTTCTTCTAAAATAATAGTGATGAGTAGGGAGATGCACAACGCTACGGTTTTAGGCGATACCAAAATCATGGCGCTAAATCGTAGCGGCGAATCTGGAAAGTAGGATTATGTGATCATTGCCTCCGTCGACAAAGCGAATCCCGTCGTAGCCGAGCTAAACGTGAACAAGAACGTATAGCTTGGCGGGCAGAGGTTCTACGCTACCCACCGCTGGTTCCCAAAGCAACCCTTAGAACGAGACCGGAAAATATAGAACTTCTCAAGAACTATTGAAAAAGCCTATTGTTGAAATATTTTTAAGACATTTTTAAGAAAGTGCAATACCAACATAACACGGATGTAGCACCTCAATGTTTACTAAATATTATTGGATCTTGATTTACTTGAGGTTTTTCCCTCCTAGTCCTGTGCGCGACAATAAAAAAAAATACGGTCCCCTATGGGGCCACGGAGGGGTCGTTGCTCCCTCGTGGAGAGGTAGGACCTCACGGAAATGGGCGGGGAGGGGCCCATTTCACTCCCTTATATTTCCTGCTTTTTCCACTTTTTCCACTAAATCGTAAATAAATTAGGTGTTCGGAACATTAAAATAATTAATGAAATCAATGAAATATTAACACTTAGAAATCGGAAATTCTGGCCAAGTAGATTTAGAAATACTGGAAGTTGCCCAAAATTGTGTGCGCGCAAGTTCGTC